TATAAAATCCAACGGTACGTATTGAAAGCTCATAGTTCTGACGATGGCAAACATAATAATCAGCGCGAACTGTCACTTACTTACAGATGTTGACTGTGTGTGTGTACGTAGCAATGCACAATTCGCAACAGTTGAAGCAATGAAGAAATGTGAAAAGGCATAATTGAAAGGATGCGTAGTTTATATTAGACAAAAATTTCCCGTAAATATTGTTGGTCCTAGCGGGGGGGGGGGGGGGGGGGGGGGCTCACGGAGTAGCAACTACTGGCCAGTCAGTCTAGAAGCCATCCAATTCACCTAACACAATCGCACGAGTCTTCAATCCTAAATCCTGCGTCATGAAACTGCCTATATTTGCATATCAGTTCCATACGCCCATCCCAACGCTATCCACTATCAATTGGTATTTACTTCCATATTATGTGATAAAACTGTGAACCTTGGTCATGAATCAGCTTTTCGTGATACGTAAGATCTACCACCGATTCCTAGTCTTGACTATTTCAAAGTAGGGGAACAGGATTTTTCAGTAATCAAAGGAACACATCATAGTCCTTGTTACTTTTTATGCCTTGTTGATAGTGATAAGACTCGGCTTTGTCCACCGAGGATGATCTTGAAACAAGGAAAAAATGATTTAGTTAGTCTTCATCTATGTGATTCCTAATATTCTATTCGTTGTACCATAGTTTGAAGTGGTTAAGAGTAGGGTTCTGATGCATGGTCATTATCGGTGTCATTGTTTAATATTGTTGCTAAGAAATTCAATTTTGATTGACAAAGGGGCACGCCTTTGAAGGGTGTTCCAACACTCCGAAGGGTATAAATAGCGGGACCTTCCAATTGGAATCAATTCCTTGCGATGAATGCTAGACTGACAACTGTATCAAAACCGAATACTTTATCATTTCTCAATAGTGATGGAGTAATACGAAATGCAACTAAACTAAGGACACGGGATATACTACCCAAGTAACATTGCAAGTTTTATCGAGGTTTTAAAGCATGCTACAAGTCTAAATCATGGTCTACAGAACTCTCATAAAACCAAAATCGTTACTTGGGTACAATAGATCAAATTACTGGTCGCAGCGGTGTTATGTCCCGAACAGAGGAAAAAATCATCTATTCAGTTTGTCCCATTAACCTTCTAACGCCCAGTGATCTATTTATCCGCATTTTGTTCTTTCTTTTATCTTGTCTTAACAGAAATTGGGAACGTAAATAATGTTTTCAATATCACTAGAATAATCCTTGGAATATCATTAACATCTTGTTTTCAGATAATGTGAGAATAATCCTTGGGTTACTTCTGGAAAAATCGTGGATTGTCTGGAGGATAAAAAAGACTTGGGTGTTAACGGGTTAAGCAAACCCAGACAACCAGAATGCACGTATATTCAAAGTTGTTTTCGTGATATAGAAACATATATACAATCAAACAAATCGTATAGAATGCATAGAAATGGCTTACACGTACAAAAGTGGAGGCCATATACGTGCATATTTTATTTCAATTTTAAACGAGTTGATTTAACATCATATACGATTTAATCTGTAAAAACAAATTCATTTTGAAAAGTCTTACGATGTAATCTGATTTAATTTGTTATATAGTACGACGGAAAAATAAGTCATCGCATATAGGTAGGCAATTTGCATTCTATACGATTTAACTTAAAAGTAATGCGAGGTATGTCATTCTTATATGCGATTTTGACTTAAACTGTAGCAATTTACGATACTGTCTGTACATTGTTATATGACTTCTGGTTGTCTGGGAAGTAATCGCGTATCAGCCCCATCCTGAAATTCAATCGTCCAGGGGTCAAATTACAGATCTGCTGTTTGAGGAACCATATTTTCCGCTGATGTATCCAAAAATTCTAGCTTTACTGGAACTGATTTTAAGTTGAAAAAATATCAATAAATTAACTATAATTTTTGAAATATTAACATGGGAATTGCACTTCTTAAATTCGAGTGCAATTTTCTCAAAGCCAATTTTTTCCGTATGTGATAAGAATTGATATGTGATATGTATGGTAGACGAGCTCTGGGTCGTTTGCAGTCGTTTCTGAATATAAGTCCCTAATTTTATCCCTAATGTAAAACCTAGAGTAGTGTGTTTTCTGGAATGAAATATAATATTGCATATTTTAACATTAACATTCAGCAAACTTTTAAAGTACCATCAATTTCATTTTGAAAATGTAGCAAATCAGAATTGTTATATATCATATCTCATATATGTTGAGCAAATTTTAGCGATTTAACACAAACTTCACGTCATCCACCAATAAAATAAACAATAGGACCTAACTGAGATCCCTGTGGAACTCCCGAGGTAACATTAACTGGCGAGGACATTTTTCCTTTAAAGCAGACCATCTGTGTTCTTTCTGTCAAGTATGATCCAATCCATTTTAAAAGTGTACTTATCATACCTAAACGTTTTAATTTAAAAAGTAGTAAGGGAATGACTACTATGTCAAAGGCCTTACTAAAGTCAGTGTTTAAGGTTTCAACGATATTACCTCTATACATTGCTTCAAAAGAATAGATTATAAATTCCAAAAGATTAGTAGACTGGATAAATATTTTCTGGTTAACAATTCCTTCAAACATTCTTGGAATGCAAGACATCATTGGAATAATTTTATAGTTTTTAATGTCTGACCGTTTGCCAGATTTAAATATTGGGACTAAAAATGATTTCGACCAAATTTTTGGAAAATCGCCTGTTTTGAGACATAAATTGTAAAGCCAAAACAATGGTTTAACAAAACTAGTTGCTAATTTTCTCAATGGTAAGTTTGTTCCAGTTGAGAGACATGCTTATACGTGTGTTATCACTGAACTTGATTTTCACGCGTTGTTGCGATTAGATTCGTATTTTGAGTTTGGCACAATGTTAACTGCTTTCGGGGACGTCACTTCATTTGAATAGCTTTTTGCTACGGCGGTCGTAGCTTGTGGTAATGTAAGGGACCCGGTGGCTATAGAGCAACCGTTTTTGCTTATTGAGCAGAAGATCATGGGTTAGAACCCATGTCTCGTTACATTACGTTACATCCCAGGCCTCTATTGTAGAAAATCGTGAATAATAGAATTCGGCGGAATGATTCGGAAATGTAATACATATGTTTGGACAAATGTGACGTATGCTTGATCCGGTTCGGAAGACACTGTTAACTGCTTGTTGTGATATAAGGGGCACGGTGGCCTTAGAGCGACCATTTTTGTTTGCTGAGCAGAAGATCGTGGTTTAAAACTAAAGCCCGTTTAAATTACTGAGCTTATAGGATCGCGTCATTTGCTTACCAGGCAGTAAAAGATCGCATCACTTTCCAATGTCAATCTAGATCTAATTCACCCTTCCCACTAACAAAAACGTTCTTCCCGTGACAACCGTGGAGATTCAGAGGTATGCTCGGTCTCTAGTAACAACTGGTGTCGAAATAACAATCATTTCCCTCCCCGCTGACCGTAAGGACGTGGCCGGTGCAGCTATTTACCTAAAAAAGATAAGGAGTCACCGGATTTTACACACTGAGAATGAATTGCTAATCCCAAGCCTCATAGTTCTTTGTGCAAATTTCACTCAATCTGGTAAATCACGGAGAAGCAACTACTGAAATGTATGGTCGTCAATGCTCATAGTCATGCTCCCGTTGCTTCATATCATCCCCATATGTCAATGGGTAAGGGTGTCAACTATTGTTATCGATCTTAGAAGCAGCCAGTTCGAATCCCGTTGTAGGAAGCAGCAAAGCAAGCAGCATCTTTCTAATTATCATTAATGCCATTGTAATGCTATCGTTACCATTCAGTGCTACCCGAGTAGACAAAAATATCAAAACAATAGCATGTTTTACTGTTAAAATTGAGGAATAGAGCATCAAAAACTGCTATTAGTTTGATTAATATAGGTGGTAAAATTCCAAAATTATATCATAAAATATATCGAACCGTTACTGAGTGTTAGGAAAGTCAGTTGTTACCATATCTAAGAAATAGCAGAAATCACTGCAAATTAATATCAATTTTTATATCTCATCAAGCTATTGGTATGTTGTTTCAAATAATGAATTAAATGAAATGTTATTAGCTTATTCTGCTATCAGAACAAAATCCGCTCTTGAATTCAAGGATTCATATCGGATGTATGTCAAAATAAGGTAACATACCTAATTAATATATTCACATGTTATCGACTAGTTATCGGTTCTTAAACCAACGTTTGTCGAATTCATGACAGTAACGCAGCCGTGTGTTTACCCAAAAGTGGGTATTAAGTAGCATTTACACACTTAATCTAGCTCGGTAAAATCTCCAACAGCCGATTACCTCGGCATTTACATTTGCTGATATCTCTGCAAAATATCTGTTTGTTAGCTGATATCTCAGCAAATAGTTATTTGTTAGCTGAGTCTCGGCAATTGTTTTACTGAATCTCAGCAAAATAAATTGCAGAACTACTCCGCTGTTGGAATCTCGGCGAAAAAAATTAAGTGTGTAAGGCGACTAAAAAGCTTAATAGCATTACAGAGGTTACCGTAGAAGCGCACAGATTGCTGATTACATTCTGTTTGTATTGCATCCGGGATACCGGGCCGTGTGCCTCCTTGAAATAGGTTCAGCATGGAATCTCAGCAAATAGTTATTTGTTAGCTGAGTCTCGGCAATTGTTTTACTGAATCTCAGCAAAATAAATTGCAGAACTACTCCGCTGTTGGAATCTCGGCGAAAAAAATTAAGTGTGTAAGGCGACTAAAAAGCTTAATAGCATTACAGAGGTTACCGTAGAAGCGCACAGATTGCTGATTACATTCTGTTTGTATTGCATCCGGGATACCGGGCCGTGTGCCTCCTTGAAATAGGTTCAGCATGGAAGTATTTACCAAAAATCCAGCGGACATACTCCGACAAGCCGGTGAAGGTGCATGGTTTCCATTTTAAAAGCGTAAATTTTCATAAAAGCAAAACTATCATCATACCATAATCATGTCGCAGGATTGTCCTGTTCTTTCCTAGATTCCCGCAATCGGCAGAGAGTTCCTTCTCAGAAGTTCAATGGTTTTTTTTTCTCTTCTCGAAACAGGATTCACACAACGATTTAAACTTCACAACTCACTTACACACACCTTTTTTGAGTATAGGTAGATTTGATAGAAACGAGTAGCCAGTATCCACGATTTCACTCGGTTCACTCGATGTCGCAACTTCTCGGAAGTCCGCAACACTCTCTAGCAGCTCGCGTGTTTTTTTCTTCTCTGTTGTTTTGATATGTTGAATCCGACAAATTTTGATACACTTTAAACTTTTTACTTGACTTTTCCTCTCTCGCAAATCAAAAACGATATCGATGAAGCTTTCACGGGACTATACTTTCAAAAGGCACATCGAAGTATCACAATTTATTTATGTTGTTGTTGTAAATGCTAAATGAACTAATTTTGAGACTACAATTTTCAACTTTTTCGGTCACGTGTTGCTTTTGCTTTTGGCGTTGCTTAAATGATAAACACATTACTGATTTGGCTCTAGTTTTGAGAGGAGTGGTTCGAGGTTTTAAGGCGGTTGGCGTTAGAGGGGATTGCGGTGAATGGAACTACGGATTTTATCACACAGTGCTTCGACGAAGAGTACAGCGAGTTTACGATCGGGTAATTGCACCAGTTTTGCTTAATCTGTTTTCTACTGGCAGGATGCCGTTGAGCCAATTGCATTAGTTGGTAATAGTGGATAATTTGATCTAGCTACGGTTGTTGAGTTCGATTTAATTACGTGTCACTTTTGGAACGATCACTTCACGAGTTAGTTTTCAGTTTTGATTTGGTCCGGTCACGATTTGAGTGTTTCACTTCTTTTTTTCCTATGCTAAGTTGCAGTACTTCCAGATTGCACTGTACCGCACTTGTTGCCCTTCATACTGCTATAATCCGTCCGTTGAGGAGGCGGTAATTTGATAAAATCAGTTCTATATGGATCCAATTTGCCCGGATGGGTCGTACGAGATTTACACAGACAGTCCGCGCGATGTGGAAGAATGTGTTCGCTGGCACAAAGAGCATCCACGGCAGCAGCGGTAGCGATTATCACTGACAAACAGAAAATCCGAAAACACTTGGCAACGGTAGGAATTCGCGCGCGCCCCTGCTGGTACTTGGTGTGCTACTCTACAAGAAGCAACAAGAGGCTACAACAAGAGTTACCAGCCAAAAGCCCCCAAAAACATACACACCCGAGAGAGAGATCGAAAAACACGAGGGCCCGTCGTAAAAGGAGAGCGCACTGGAATTGGCGGTCTGCGCAATCGATAGATTGAAACTGGTGGGTTTCAGGTGAAGCTCCAGGGTATTCGGCGCCCGTAAAGTTTTTCCCTGCATCCCTACACATGTACATTGACTCTCGTACATCTACATCCATAAGCGAAGCATGCGACTGTGCACCCACAGAGAGATGAAAGAAAGACATGGCAAACGGCAGCAGTGGCAGTGGCAGTTCAGCAGGGCACATGTACCCAGCAGATATACAACCAATACTACCATGGGCGCACCTCCGGCCTTACTGCCTTAACCGGTCGTCATCATCACCCACCGCCACCACCCTTCGGCCGACCATAGGACCATAGGAATACGCCTCTGGAAACGCCTACTCTCCCCACTCACTCGAAGAACATAGCATCCAGGCTATGCGATGCTATCTCTGTTCCGAGGCATTGTGTGCCTTCTCTGTGTCGGTCTCACTCCACCGAAGGCATCGGCCGCTGTTGGAAGCGACGAGCATACACAGGCTGTCTCTTTCATCTGCACCGGCTGACTGGTGGTAGTAAGTAATAAGTCCCCACAGCAGCGCAAGCATACAAACATAGCCTCGGTGGTTGGCTGGGGTGCGTTTTATGCTGTGCGGCGACGTATTATTGCCTGGCGTCTATGTACACGCAGCAGTAACCGATCGAGGCATCGTCGTCATCGTCAGCCAACCGTTTGTGACGGAAGGGAGCCGAGGGAAAACCGGAGAGCACGATTTACGCATCGGGTGAGTGTTGGTGAATTGTTGTTGAAGGAGATTAGATTTGCCTTCGGTTTGTGATTTGTTTTTGCGAGAGATTTTCTTTTTATTAGCAGCAGAAACATCAGGGGCTACCTGTGAAATGGGCACCAAAAGTTATGCGTCGTAAAAGTCACTTGTGTATCTACAAATGTTAAAACACGTGCATAACGTAACGTGCCATAGCCATAAAAACATTAAAAGCGGTTTACAATTACGCTAAAATGGCATTTGAAACTTTGAAATGCGTTTAAAAATATTAAAAAAAATGGCATCACATACGCCAAAATGGCCAAAAACCACCAAAATTACCCTTAAAATTACCAAAATAAAATTCTTAAAATCGCTAAAACAAATAGCCTGGAATCACCTTTTAAAGCCTATAAATGACCGTTAAAATGACAGAAATGCCCATTGAATCACTGGAATAGCATATAACTGTCAAAATAATTATAAAGACATTAAAAATTGCATTAGAAGTGCACAAAAAAAGAAAAAAACTCAGACGCCAAAATTCTGCTTAAAACACCAAAAAGCACTTAGATTCATCAAAATGTACCATAAATCGCCAAAAAAAAATCTCCAAAATGACTTCAACAACGGTTACATTACCTTAACGGGAAATTTACCACAACGAAAATAACAAACGTTTTGGAACATTTTGATTTTTCCAAAAAAAAATATTGGATGAGGTATCATAAATCCAAAACTTTCAAATTTTTCCTGTGATTTGTTCGCAAATATACGCTTATATAATTTTTTTCTATTTCATTATTTTGTAAAGTTGGCTAAAAAAAAAATCATAAGGTCTGGTTTTCCTGTATTTTATAATCCAGTTCTGATGAAGGAGGCTTTTTGGATAGCGGAAGATAAAGTGTTAATTGTGCTGTACCTTTTGACTATAGTTTTAAGATGTATTGCATAGTGACCAAGAAACCTCGGCTCTGTAAAGTTAATTCGTTTGAGCCTTATCAAATACATTGATAAACAACAACAAAAAGTGTTCTTTCAACAATTTTAACTCAGCCTTAGTTTGGATATTTAATGTACATAAACCACGTGAACCTTTTGTTCAGCTTTTCTAAATCTGGTGATTTTATTTAATCAGCTGAATGGGTTTTTTTTTGCCTGTTCGGGACATTACATTTTTGCTATCAGCAATTTGATCTATTTTAGCATATCCCGTCTTATTACTCCATCACTATTGAGAAATGATGAAGTCTTTGGGTTTGAAACAGTTGTCATTCTTGACTTCATTGCAAGGAATCGATTCTAATGGATAGGTACCCTTCGAAGAGTGAGCCCCTTTGTCAGTCAAAATTGGATTTCTTAGCAACAAAAATAAGCAATTACACCGATAATGATCATCCATCAGAACCCTAGTCTGACGCTAACCTAGGTCTGGTAAAGACTTAATGTTTTTCGAACCAATTTGAACTGTCAAAATCGAACCAGCTTTTACTGTTCTTTAAAGAAGGAAACATATAGGAGGTATTGAAATCTGATTGAAACGTCAACCTGTTTTTTTGTTCGGAAATATCTTCATGATTATGAGACAAGTACGTTTTATTTTTATTTAGTTTTTATTAATTATCTAATCAAAAGAAACAAAATTATTTTCTGGGAAGATCTTACACATCATAGATTTGCAATATTTTCTTTATTTGCCACTTGTGCATGTTGAATGAATTGAATTTATCAGCTTGGATTGAATATCATGACATTCAGACAAATCGATCGGAACTTTAAAATTAGCGAGAACGTAATATCCTGAATATTAACTTTTTTTATCTTTCACAAGTTTTCTCTATTCTGAAAAAAAAAATAATTGTTCAGCGCAAGGAACTATTGATACAGTTTGAAACTTATGAAACCACTGTCGTTTTGACTTGAAATGCTGAGTAATGTGAACTTAGCGAAACTAGCATTGGAATAAGCTTCATTTTACCGGTGAACTTGCAATGTAGCTGCAAAACTTCGTGTGGCATCGCATTTCAGCTGCTTGAGCTTGAGCTTGATTGACCGCCCACGGTTGCTACTCTGTTATTGCCAGATCAGCTGTAATTACACAGAGAACCAATAGACGATGCTTGGGACTAGCAATCATCCTCAATGTGTAAAAACTGGTGATCTTAAATTAGGCAATACCAGCGCCGGCCGCGCCCGAACACAGGTCAAGAAAGGAATGGGAAGGATTGTGTTGACATGACACTCGCTTTGATGGAAGCCGAGAACACCTAAGCACTTTCACGAGGAATCACTGGGATGTTGGATAAGAGCGTTGGGTTTGCAGCAGGGTTCGTTTTGGTAAACGATAAGCTGAATTGATGTCCTAACGATCATATAACGCGAAGGAGCTTGGGACTAAACCCACGGTCTTCTGCTCAGTAAGCAAAAACGTTTGCCACTAGGCAGACGAGCACCTTTTTAATCACCGAGTTGTTGTTATTACCATGTAGTCATATTAACAAATAAAACGATTGACGAATTTTGAATGTGGAAGGGCCTGAGATTAGACTCATGATGTTCTGCTCAATAAGCAAAAACGGTTGCTCTAAGGCCACCGAGCCCCTCATATCACATAATACCGTTGCTAAAATTTTTGTATCCATTCAAACCCGGAACCAACGACAACAACGAGTTTCGCAAAATACACGATACACAAGCGATTTTACCATAAATCTCTTTGATATGTAAGGACCTGGGACCGCATTTTTCTGCTCAGTAAGCAGGCCACTGTAACCGACGATCTTTCAAATCCGAAAACTAAAAACTACGAAAAAGTACTTAGGCCTTCATTAAGTTCCACTTTCACGCGACGTTCAATGACAGGGTCCTATCCAGGATTACATCTGAAAAATCCAAATCTGGCCAACGCCCACCCTAAACCTAAACCTGCTCTAATCCACCTGAAATGACTAACGAATGGAACACTTTGACTACCCAGCCATGCAATAGTCTCATTCCGTGCCTTATGGCAACTTGATGATTCTATTGCGCTCATCTTCTGGCACCACCCAGGGGAGACTTGGACCTGTACCCAATGCTTAACTTATCTCCATTCCACTCAGCTACTCGCAATTTCTTGTGATATAGTGGGCGGAATATTATTATATGAGACAATTCAATGCAGACGTCTTTCCAAATTTGGCAGATCGACAGGTAATCGGTGAGTTACCACGATAGTTGCTTATTCAACAACTCGACAACGTCCCATCGTCAACGCCTGCTATGAGAATTTCCCATTGCAGACGCCAACGAAATGACGTCATCGAGCTATCGATCAACTACCCTGGTTATCGCCTGGTACACCCAACCGGTGGATGTAAGATTCGCTTACAATTATGTAGGATTCATCATCAGAGGATGTAAGTGGAGACCGCATGAACCGAGGATGCGATATACCTAGCTGCGGTCCAATGTAAGAAAATTGGAGACCGAAAAATGTGGAGTGTATTAGTGAGTGAAATTAATTATGTCGAAAAAAATAGAAAAAAGGTTGCCGACTGGACTCGAACCACGGACGTTGCGACTAACAGACCTGTGCTTTCTCTACTGCTCTCTCCATGCTTCTGAATATGGTTAGCCTAAAAGCAAACATGAAGCGCTCATTTTCTCGCATGCTCGACTTCGTATGCTTTTTCTGCTGGAGAGATTCGAGATAAGTGTGTGCGTCGTTCTACAATGTTCTACAATGTGCGTCGTTCTACAAGCTTACTGGTATAGTCGAAAGCGTAGATGCAACACGAAATAAAAATGCTCGACTTCGTATGCTTTTTCTGCTGGAGAGATTCGAGACAAGTGTGTGCGTCGTTCTACAATGTTCTACAATGTGCGTCGTTCTACAAGCTTACTGGTATAGTCGAAAGCGTAGATGGAACACGAAATAAAAAAAGACAAAAAACCATTACATCGCCTGCATGGTCAATTTCTAACATTCGTTGCTATGTTCATGAACAGAGGATGATAGGAAACGGAACTAACATTTATTGTAATAGATTTTTGGTTTGCGTGTACCTTATAGCACGATGCTAGGAGGCGAACCGGAAGAATCGATGAGCTACCTCCCCCCGTGTATCATCGCATTTCAGCTGCTTACGAGAAACTAAAAAACGATGAACTAGGTACTGTCGTTACAAAAAAGACATGCACAGCATATGCACTGATTTGCTTTGTTTACCAACTAGACACCGAGGGTGGCAACGATGTTTCTTTGCCAAACCTAGGTCTTAACCACTTCAAACTAGGGAACAACGATT